AACATATGTTCTCATATTTTGGCTTTAATAGTATTGAAATGTGTGTCAGCCTTTATGACATTCATTAGATTTTTTATCTTAATAGTGTTATACTTTGAAATGCAAGTCAAAATTAAATTCATTAGAAAATCTAATTTTTTTTAAATTTAAGTTATACTTATAACTTGATATAATTAAGATTGTCAATTTCATGTCTCTTATTTAGACTACATTAATTCTAATATTATTATTACAACTATGATGTTTTCTTATTTTATATTTCACTTATCAATAAATATTTATGCATTTAGAAAAAAATTTGAAATTATTTATTATTGATTTTAAAAAGATCAAAATTACTCTTGAAAAAATATACAAATGTACAAAAATAAAAAAGGAATGCGCAATGGTTTGCAAGTGGGAAAAGAGGCACAAAATAAGCCCATAAGTAAAAAGATGCACAAAAATGTGCCAATAATTTGAAAAAGATGCGCAAAGCGCCACATGTGGTAATTATTTCTTTACATTATCTTTTAATCTCTTAATTCAAATTAATCTACTGTACATTTATGTTCTATATTGAAATTTGAAATATACAAATTTTCTATTCATCCTTTTTGTAATAATTTTCTCTATCTTATAGTCTAAATTAACTCATATTTTTGATATATTCTTTTTATTATCAATGTTATATCTCCTCTTAAATTCTATGAATTAATATGATTTACCTAATATGTTAATTTTATTTGCATAACTTATTTCAATCACTTTCAAGATTGAATTATCAAATAATTTTTATATGTCAGATTACATTTCAAGTCTTTTTCTTCTTTACTTTTTACTATTGTCAAAAAGGGGGAGAAATTGTTTGTATTATGATTTTGGTTTTGTTTGATTCATATTATTTGGTTTTGTTTGATTCGTATTATATGTGTGTGTCTATTTTTATTTTTTATTTTGTGTTTTGTGTATGTTGTATACGTTGTGTGTTTATTTTATTTTTGTTTGTTGTATATTTCTAAAAATACCTCCATATTTACACATGTTCATCAATTTAGGAGGAGTTTAGGAGATTTTTTGAATTTGAAAATTATACAAATAATAATTGTTTTGCCATCATCAAAAAGGGGAGATTGTTAAGAGAGTTGCTATTTGCATGTTTTACATTCTTGCAACTTGTATAGTTTTGATAATTTCAAATATTATTATTTTTATGTATATTTATCTCCTAACACTTTTTGGAAGAGTTATTTTTGCTCTGGTGTGTATTAACATTTCAGGAAAATCAAAACTCCAGACTACAAAGACTTCAAATAAAATTCAGCACGAGATACTTTGTATATTTAAAACTTATATTTTTCTTTGAATTAAGTTTGAGAGGGAGTGAATGTAATTGAGTGAATTCACACACACACTTTAGGAGATCTTGAGAAATTTGTATTGATCATACGGGATGAACTCTTAGTTCGTGCGGGACGATCAGGTTAGTTATCTCCTCGTAAGAGCAATGGAACGAATAGGAGTTGTAGAAAATTTTTCTAAGTCCTGATTGTCCAGGACGAAGTGTATTCGTCCTAGGATGAAATATTCTCTAGAAAATTTTCATTCAAGAATGAAGTGTATTCATTCCAGGACGAGTTTCTCTCTGGAGTATTTTCGTCCAGGATGAAGTGTATTCATCTAGGGATGATTTGCTCTCTGGAAAAATTTTGTTCGGACGAACCCATATTCGTCCCAGGACAAAGTGAACCAACTCTGAAATTTTAGTGACGTTCTGCAGTTTTTGGGAACTGACCTATAGAATAACCGTTCGTACCGGACGAACCTAGTTCGTATGGGATGATGTGTGTGTATGAAGTCATTTCGTACCCATATATAATAGGTTCGTTTCTAGCGCAATTAAGTAAAATCATCCAGGACGAGCCACGATCGTACGTGATGATCCAATGCATATTGACTTGATAATTTGTAGTTTTTGGATGGTTTTTTGTGTCTTTCCTATAAATAGTCCAAACTAAACTGTCACTTAATCTTTTTGTCCACTGATCTTCATGCATATTAAAAGAAGAGTCAAGGAGAGAGTGTAAGAGAGTATTCGAAGGAGGATTCTTACTACTGGAGCGCGAAGGCTTCACTTGGTTTTCAAAGGTAAGAATCTTTACTTTTTATTTGTGTTTACTTCACTTCTTTCTTTCTTTCTTCTAGATTTCTTATGAAGAAGATCTGTCAAGGTGATCCGGTTCTCTACCGACACTTGGAGAGTGTGAATAGTCGAAGGGTTCTCTGCCCACACTAGGAGAGTGTGAACAGCCGAAGGGTTCTCTGCCCACACTAGGAGAGTGTGAAAGGATGAAGGGTTCTTTGCCCACATCGGGAGAGTGTAAAAGGACGACGGTTCTCTGCCAACACTAGGGATAGTTTAAAAGGACGACGGTTCTCTACCGCATTGGGTAGTGGTGGAAAGAGTTTTTATAAAGGCTTCTCTGCCTTTCTGTGGGTGGTAAAGGAGAGTCACTAGTGGTATTAGTGCAATACCCGGAGGGTGCCTCCGGGGAGTGGATGTAGGTCAAGTTTGACCGAACCACTATAAAACTTGTGTCTTTTATTTTTCGTTCCTTTTTATTTAGTTTATTTTTGTTTCTAATTTGTGGTTGAAAAATCTATTTATATAAAACTCATTAAAGTTTATTTTTAGTTTAAAAAATTAAAAAGAGGGATTAATTTTTTATTACCAATTCACCCCCCTTTTGGTTAGCTGCTGGGACAAAAGCTTAAGTTTAACAACCTAATTCATAGTGATCGAGTTTCAACACATGACCCCTAGAGATTCACGTTGATGTCTAGGGAGTGATCACTCATCAAAATTATATTGAAATTATAATTATGCATTGGATCCATTTAAAGAACTCGTAAACAAATTTTTGAACTCTACGCACTTTGATATCTAAAAATAGTGGGGTAACTATTACATCATCAAAAAATTATCTTGATCGAGCATAAATCTTGAGGTAAATACACATTGTACACTTTTAAAATTAAATTTTGTCTCTTCCAAACTCTGATTTCAACAAACTTAAAAGTCAAACGAAAGAGCTCAAAATGGTAAATTGAACGAGCACAAAATGACAAATTATGATATCATTAATATACTCAAATACTAAATAAATTATCAACGATTAAGGGAATTGATATCAATCGTCCATTAAGACCACTCCAAACAAACCCTTGATCTTCTCCTAATTTACTGGCCATGCTACTCTTTAAAAATTATAAATAGACTGTCTATTCTTCATTAGAAGGGGAAAGGGGAAAGATGAGTGTTAGGCAAAGAAGGGAGGAAAGGAAGAGATATTTGAGATATATTTTTCCACTAAGCTCCTCTCGGCCATCACCCAACCACCAACCATTGCCAAATTAATGCTACGCCATTGATTATCGTCAAACGTCTACCCAACCATAATACATCAGCCATCATCTTTCATTATTCTAACCATTATCGTCCACCGACTACGGTCTCTCCAACCACCATCTCTAGAATATGGTTTCCCTGACTACGGTGCTTAGGACCACCATCAATCATCTACTATAGTGTCCCTGACCACTGTCTTTAGACTATGGTCTTGTAGACCATCTTCGCCCATCTACAATTCCTTTGAACATCGTCACCTGAATATATTTTTTTTGACCTACATTTCCCAATGACAATGATCTCTCCAATAACCATCTCCAGACTACGGTCTCCCCGACCTTTATCGTCTGCCAACTATGATTTCTCTGACCAATATCACCAGACTATGATCTCCCTGATCGTCGTCGCCTACTATAGTCCTTCGGACCAACATCGCCCGACTAAGGTCCTTTCGACCATCATCGCCCAACTAAGGTCATTCCAACCTCAGTCACCCATCAACTATGGTATCTCAAACCATTGTCTCCAGACCGTGCTCTCCTCGAACACCATCGCCTACTACGATCCTTCCAATTATTGCCTCCCGACTATAGTCTTTTTTAACTCCGTCACCCACCGACTAAAGTCTCCCCAACCACCATCTCAAAACTACGATCTCCCCCATCTCTGTCGCCCGCCGAATACGATTTCTCAGACCAACATCTCCAAACTATAATCTTGCCGACTGCCATTGCCTGACTACGATCCTTTTAACCTATATTGCTCAATAACTATGGTCTTACCGATCAAACAAACTGGTCAACACTGACTTTTCCAACTCACACTATGTAACGTACTCTTTATGATATATACTTGTTACATCGAGCCAATGACTTCCCTCTAAGAAAGGGCCTCCTTTGTGAGCACTACAAACACTACTGGATACATTTAAATAGGGCAATGCCTTGTGGCTTTTTCACTTTTCAAGGGTTTCCAAGTAAAAACTTAAGTGTTTCTTATGAATGTTACACCTTAGCTTTCATCTATTTATGTGCTCGATCTTTGTACAAAACTACGACGCTAAAATTCATATTTCTCTATGGCCGTGAATATTTCAGGATACAACAAAGTTATATGATAATAAATTTACTACATTTAACTATGTGCAGAAATCTTATACTTTGGCAATTTAAATGATTTATCATTTTTTTTATTTTAGTTTTTAACTTATTCATTTTTTTAATAAAATTCTACATCACCAAATAATGCTCTACTACTTGTTGAAGCCGATGCAGCTTTTTGAAATTTTGATTATAAATGTAATTTGCTTTGAAGTCTACTATTAAGGGTAGTTTTCTAATATAAGAATATTTTAAAAATAAAATAAAAATAACAGTAAAAAAAAAAATTTTTTAAGCCCTCTACAGCGAACTATAAAAAAATTATTCCCCACAAATTTGCTACACAACAAACAACTTGAATGTAACGGGAAAATAGTAGAATAGCTGTAAAAAGCGGCCACGTGGTAAAATATAGATAAAATAACTATTTTTTTTAACACATAAATAAAATTTCAAATTATAATAATATATTTTTTACATGTTTTGAAACAATTGTTTTTCAATTTGTAAAATCTACTTTATTATACAATGAAGAAGGGTTAACACAAGCCTAACATTTCTCCCTCTACGCGCAAATCCATGTCTCCTCTCCTCCTCCTGCCCCTCATCCTCTTCGCCGCTGCCGGCGCAATTGCCAACATTTCCGATGATACCTCCTCTGTCTACGATGCCCTCCAATCTTACAATTTCCCCATCGGCCTCCTTCCAAAGGGGGCTGTTGGATACGACCTAGACAACAGCACAGGAGATTTCTTAGTCTACTTCAATGGGACCTGCAGTTTCTCGCTTGAGGGATCATACCAGCTAGGATACCAGTCGTCCATTTCCGGCCGGATATCAACAAACCGCCTCAGCAACCTTAAGGGTGTCCGCGTCAAGGTCGTTTTTTTCTGGATCAACATTGTCGAGGTCGTCCGAAATGGAGACGAGCTCGAATTCTCTGTCGGGATCGCCTCGGCTAACTTCGCGATCAATAACTTTGTCATTTCTCCTCAGTGCGGCTGCGGATTAAATTGCAAAAGCCTCGGTAATCGTTCCAAAGAGGGCTATCTGGTGATATTGAAGTCCGCCGTCTAATGAATTTGTCATGTTGGTCATCTACACTTCTCCCTCGTATTGCTTTAGGTTTCTAGGGCTCAATGTATGGTGAAGGTTCTTCATTATTAACTTAAATCCTTAAATATTAATATTTCTAGTTAATTATCAATTATTAGGATATCAGTCCTCAAAATATCGTGGATTAAGACGATGTTATAATGACGTCAACGAAGTAGGATAGAAATTTCATTTAACTGCATAGTAATGTTATTCAAATATTCCCCTTATTTGTTAAATGAGAACTGCTATACAAGGTAAATGATATGGAAGCGTCTGAACATAGGATAAATAATTATAGTAGTTTGGAATTCTACCAAAATATCTTTTGTAAGAACAATAGGTCGGTTCATTTTTGCGATGGCATTAGACAATGCAATCTACCACAAACAGTAAAAAATGAGGACTGTTTTCTTATTTTTGTCACGAAGCTTGTGTTACTTTTAACACGTTTAATTTGGTTTCTATCTACTTCAATCTGACCCATTAATATTACTTTCTAATTTTGCCTAAAAAGGAGTGATTATGTAAAACAAAATACCTTTAAATTACTCTATTTGCTTAGTTTTTCTCCTCCGACTACATGGAATGGCACAACTATTAGGTGCAAAACATCAATGCCTCCTTCATGCCGCTCTGCTAGGGCTTCGCCCTAGGCGCCCATCTCCCTCACTGGAGCTTATCTCTCAGGGAAGTGTCTTTGTCTTTTCTTTCTATTTTTACTACTCCCGTGGATGATCGCTCTCTTTGCTTGATTTTTCTCCTCTGATTGTGTCTAATGATAGATAATCGGGCTCGTTTGTGGGATCATGGTTTCCTCTGCGGTAATTATGGTTTGAGGTTGTTTTTTGATGCTTTGTATGGTGCGGCTCCAGTGGCCTTCCCTCCTCTTAAACTTCAACCTTTAAGGATTTGGTGATTACATTATTGCTGATTCTGGTGTTAAATCCATTCTGTTGGGAATGGAACCTGGGGAGGATTTGGTTGTGCCTTTTAATGATGATTCTCCCAGGCCTTCTTCAGAAGCATCTTCATTACCTTTTAATAAGACACAATTTATAGATGTTCCGATTTCTATTATTTCAAATGATGCTTTGAAAGCTTAATTATCGTTGAATATGAAGGATACTTCTTTGAATCAAACTTATTTGTGTGGTTCGGTCTATTTCTTTCCTTGCAGGGGTGTTGGGATTAAATTGGGTGACTCTATCGATGAGTTTCATGAGATGTATAGTTTGAACATGGGTCGCATTATTGAAAAAACATTTTCTCGTGGAGGTTGCGAATGTGGTAGGAGGAAGTCTAAAATTATGTAATTAGTTTTGTTTGTTATTTTTCTCTAGTTTTGTTGGCCCTCTAACAGTTTTTCCTTTGGGTTTGGTGTTGCTTTGTTTGGTTACTGGCTCATGTGGTAGGTTTTTTTTGCTCTCTTCGTATCTTCTTAGGCATTGTGGTTTGGGTTTGGCTAAGTGGATGGGCTTTCTAGGTTTGCTCTGTGGTTTTTGCTGTGTTTTGGTTGTGTTATTGTGGTTTACTATTGGTGCGTGGGAGTGGTCTTGTGGTTATTTGTTGTTGGTGATGTTTCTTTGGTTGGTTGTTGGGTGTTGGTTTGTTGTTTGTTGGGTTATTTCTTTCCTTTCCTTTTGCAATTTTTTTTTAATCTAATATTATAGGTTTCTTTTGGTGGCTCGTTTGGCTCCATGTCAAGAATTGAGGATATTCCTGTTGAGTTGTTTTTTATCCTGGTTTGCTTAATTTTGTTGCTTTTGTTTTTATGTTGCTTCACATTATAATAGGTAGAATCATTGGCTCGTATGTTTTACTTCAAAGAATTGTACTTTTAGAGGGCATAAGGTTCCTTAAAGACTTATAATTTTCTTTTGTTTTTAATGCATAGATCCCTCAAAAAACCTTTAAATTATTGTTAAAAAAGGAGCTCTTGGGATATGTATATTTTCTTGTATAAGCTCGACAAGGGCTCGCAGGCAGGCTTGCTTTTTTGCTATTTCTATATGCTCCAATACAAGTAGTTGTGTTTCTCTCGAGTAGCTTGATTAAGCTTATAGTTTTTATAGTATGAGAGCATAAAGCTATAGTTTATATAGTATAAGAGCATTATGTTTTTTTTTTTTTTTTTTAAATCAAGAGAGCATTTTTTTTTTTTTTTTTTTTTTTTTTGAGCTACTCTTTTTTTTCTTTATCCTTTAGTTTTATCATAGATCATGAACACTCCAGATGCTTCCTCTGATGATACGTCTGATTCAGGAGTCAGATTGGGATTGTAGCTAGAAAACAACTCGATACCATCAGAGTTGAAATTTCTTATGGAAAACATTAAAAGTGTTATTTCTACCCCTCTCACTTTAGAAAACTATCAAAGTTAGCGATCTCAAATTCTGAAGCTCTTTCATGCAAACGGCTTTCATGGTTTCTTAGAAGGAACTTGTGCCTGTCCATCTAGAACGCTCAGCTCTACAGTTGGATTGCCCTCCACCAATCCCCATTATCATACCAAGATTCTCATAGATCAGAATCTAGTTATAACACTATATTCACTCAATTTTTCTGCATTACTTCCCTGTCTTTACTTTTAATCGTTGTTCTGATATTTTATTCACCGTTGAACAACACTTGTAGTCATCAACTCGTTCATGAATCATCCAATATAAGAATTAGCTTGATCATTTGTCTATGAAAGGTCAAACAATGACCCATTGTTTCTTCGCAATCAAAGCCAATGTTGATTCCATTGTTGTAGCCATCACACCCCTTGATCCACAAGATATTCTTCTCTGCACATTGAATTACCTTACAGCTCAATATCAAGCCTTCAAAATCTTCATTCAGACTAATATACAGCCTTTGAGTTTGGATAACCTTTACAAATTGTTGTTGGATGAATTACAATCCTTACACAACTCTCCTTGGCCTATTGGTTGAGAGCTTTGGCTTCCAACTAAGAGGTTCAGGGTTCGAGTCTATGTGTATGCGTTGAGTGTGTGTGTTTGCCTTAAATGGCCTAAATGTCCCCAAAAAAAAAAAAAAAAAAATTACAATCCTTACAACTATCTGTTGATACCGTTTCTCTTACTTTCTTGTGGTCGATTTTTTGTCAATAAAGGACATCCCAATTCATTCCATAAATACACTATGTTAATCCGTCTAATTACTTCCACCCATGTTGGTAAATCTGCTTGATCTCTTATTATTTATCAAATCTATTAGATGTAGCCACACTGCTCTTATTTGCGAGCATTAGCATGATCATGCATATAACATTGATCTGGTAACTCTACATTCCTTTGCATTTCTTCGTCAGCTCACCCAATCGAATGGATCCTTGACAGTGGAGCATCTTTGCATCTAACTTCAGATCAATCAAAGCTTAGTTACTCCACAACTTACACAGGATCTAATCAAGTAGTGCATGGAAATAGACAAGATATTCCCAAACACCACATTGGTAATGGCACACTTCCAACATCTACAGATAGTCTCAGACTTTCTCAGTTAAATCATATACTCAAACTCTTTTTTAATCTATTGTCCATTGATGCGGTGGGCTATGTATGTTGGACTATATTTATTTAAATATTACTCCCAACTAAAATTGCAAATGCATATGTCAATCAAGTATTAAAATAGGTTATGAGAGAGTGTTGATCCCACGATGAAGTATTCTGCGTTACATAATTGTTCTAGTTTCATCTCTTCAATCTATAAAATTTATCCTATGCAAAAAAATCAGGGTTGTATTTTTTTTAGAATTAGAATTGTAGAAGAAAAGTAAAGATAGCAATAGACAAAGTGCTTCAGACTATTGTTTGTAAAATATCCCAAGCTTTGCTAAGTATGTTCACTTAAATTACTTGTGTTCTAAAGTTTATACATCATTAGATTTTTGTCGAGCTTGTAATGATTTAAAGAAAGGTTTATAATCTTCCCATAGTTATTCTATTTCCACATTCCTTAATGTACTAAACATCATATGTCTATGTATGTAAGTATTTCGTCCAATGTCAAGACCAATCAACCAACCAGCAAGGGCCCCAAAGTCCAATGCTAACTGAGAGACGAAATAGATATAACTCCAGGAATTCACCCAAACAATCACATACCACCCAACAACCCCAGAGGAGGATAAATCCATAGCCAATGAATGCAGCCATAACCATCTCCAAAGAAGTAGACATGAGGTAGGAGAGAAACCACAAGGAATCCCATCAAAAGCTAAAGTACAATCGTAGCTCATGCCCCAAACCACAAAAACATCTATAGAAATCGGCAGAATCATAGAAAATTGCCAACAGCAATTCAGTAAGACCAAAACAAATAAATAAAATAAATAAATCAAACCAAGAATGGGATACGAGACATAACCAGCCATCTCAAAATGCTCCAGTTTAAAAATGGCTCCCACACTGCAAAGAGGCAAGGCCTTGGAACCGCACCAAAAAACAACAACCTCAACTTGCATCAATCACAAGGGCACCATCCTCACGGAGAGATCACAAACCCAAACGTCCATCCATAATAGCAGCACCAAAAAACAACAACCTTCAGCAAATACAATAGCAGCCCTAGAAAAGAGACATCACCTCAACATTCTAGCCACATGGAACAGCACCAAAAAGCACAACCACGAATGAACACAAGAACAGAAACTAGAAGACTGAGAGACAATGGGACCAACCAGGAGAAAATAGAATGCAATCCAAACCTCCATAACCAAACCAAATAAAAAAAAACTCAACTACGAACATAAGGCATACCAAGAATATCCAATCTAAGCAGGCCTTTCATAGCCACATGTATAGTAGTCCCAATGAAATCAGAGGCAAATTCATGACGACAACCTCATTTAGCTGGCCAATTAGCACCAGCATTACCATCTTTGAAATTATAAGAAAATGAGAAGTTCAAGAAAATAAGCAAATTTTTTTTCCCCCTAACCTGCTAAAATAGATCAGGGTTGCACAACGAGTCATCAACATACTTAAGAAAATATAAATTATAGTCTGAAGTAACCTCAATAATAATATTGGTAACATTTAGAGAAATACACAACCTCAAACAATAGAGAATAGCCAAGGTGGTAGCATAGAAAACATTACCATTCTGTAACGGCCGTGTAAAGGCCATAATAAGACTACCATTACTATCTTTGATAACCCCACCATAACCCTTAGTAGAGTCAAG